AAAAAAAAAAAAAAGGTAACAAATTTATTTTTAAAAAAAAGACAAATGGGATTGTATCACACCAAAGAGCTTCTACATGGCATAGAAAGCAGTTAACAGAGTGAAGAAAGAACCCAAGGGTTGGGAGAAAATATTTTCAAACTGTGCATCTGATAAGGTAATAATCCAAAATATATGAGGAACTCAAAAAACTAAATAGGAAGAAAATAACCCAGATAAAAGATAGACAAGTCTTCTGAACAGACATTTCTCAAAGACACACAAATAGCCAAAAAGTAAATTTTAATATATTAAATATCACTAATCATTATGAAAATGCAAATTTAAACCACAATGAGCTATCACTTCATACCTATTAGAATGGCCATCAACAGACAAGTGAGCTGGCATGGTGGTGCATTACCTGTAATCTCATCTATTCAGGAGGCTGATGCAGAAGGAAGTCAACTTCAAGGCCAGCTGGGACAAATTAGTAAGGCACTGCTTCAAAACAAAACAATAAAAAGGGCTGGGCATGTGCTGGAAATGTAGCTCAGTAGCAAGCACAGCACTTGCCTAACATGTACAGACAGAGCTTTGGGTTTGATCCCCAGCAGCACCAAAAGAAGAAAAGGGGTTAAAAATAAAAAGATCTGGGGATATACCTCAGTGTTAGAATGTTTGCTGGCATTCACAAGGCCCTGGGTTCAATCTCCAGTACTGGGGAGGGAAATAAAGGACAAATGACAGCAAAGTTTGGTGAGAATGTGAACACAAAAAAACCCTCGTATACTGTTAGTGGGTTACTTACTTCAGCCACTAAGGAAAACGGAATGGAGTTGCCTCAAAAATCTAAATTTAGCAAGTCCATAAGATCCACAAATTTTGCCTCTAGGTATACATCCAAAAGAATTGAAATCAATTTATCAAAGAAAGATTCGGGCTCCCACATTGATTTCAAAATTACTCAAAATAGCAAAGTTACAGGATCCATCTAAGTGTTCTTCAGTAGACAAATGGTTAAAGAACATACTGTATATATACAAAACAATACTATTCAGCCTCCAAAAATAAGAAAATTCTGTCATTTGTCACAACATGAATGGAACTAGATGACATTATGTTAAGTGAAATAATCCAGGCACAAAAAGACAAATATCACAAGATTTCTCATATATGTAATCAAAAAAAAGTTGATCTTATAGAAACACAGAGGCAAATGGGAAAAGAGAAAATGCTGATCAAAGGGAACAAAGTCTCTGTTAAATTGGAGGAATAAGATTTAGTGATCTACTACGCTGTACAATAACCATAGTTAATAGTAATGTATACTTCAAAATTGCTTTAAAAATAGGTTTTTAGCATTCTCATTACAAAAGAGAAGTTGATGAGATGATGGATATGTTAATTAGCTTAACTGAATTTTTCTGCCATATATATGTATACAAAACCCCATATTTTATCCAATAAATACACACAATTATTATCTATCAATTAAAACTAAACAAAAGAGGGCCAGGGATTTAGCTCAGTGGTTCTGTTGCTTGCCTTGCAAGTGCAAGGACCGGAGTTCAATTCCCTGTACCAAAAAAAAAAAACCCAAAAAACTAAACAAAAGATTTTAATTCAAAAAGGAAAATCTGGTTTGGGAATTCGTGCTAAAGTCAACCGTCCATGAGTGTATTACAATACTTTGATCTTTCTAAAATATATAATTTTTACTAAGTAAACTTGCATATACTATTTCATTCCCAAACTTTCTTTGCATTTTTCTTTCTTTTTCCTAACACACGGGATAAAGTCATTAGCAAACCACAAATTATGCCTCATAATCAGTGTTAAATATCGGTCAACAAAGAAAAGTGCTGGCTGGGAAGAAATTGTTCCATTTTCTATTACCTTCATTATAATTTTTCCTTTTCTCTCTCTCTCCTTGACTTCTCTGAAGAAATGAAGAGAGTGGGAGGAGCTCTGTTTGGAGTGGGTAAATGGAGCATTTTCTGAAATGCTGACATGATGGCAAGACATTTCACACAACTCTCAGCAAAGCACAGGGAACTTGCAAAACCTTAAAGCTCATGAAGATTAATGCTCTATTATGTTCTGTTAACCTGGGGCTGAAATTGGAGCTAAATTTGTAGGCAGCTTGGACAGATTTATGTCTACCCCTGAGATGAATAACATCCATGGTATTTTAGAAGTGAATTCAGTACAAAGACCATCACAAAGCATATGAAATCACTTCATAATATGCTGAAACAAAGTGAAATCTCTCATAAGCACTGGGAGGTCCTTTAATTATTTCTCAGATACAGCCCATCATCCTGGAATTAAAGGCTAAACTCCATAGGGAATTCAAGCCTGAATTGTAAATTTGTGCATTTCTGAGGGTTAGTTAAATTTTTGCTTGTTTTTTGTACCTTCTTTTGCCCCCTTTCTTAAATGAACCAACTCTCTCCTCTGCCCCTCACAATGAAGAACCAAGAAATGATAATGTTATTGGGAAGAAAATTTGCATTGTTTCTATTTTGATCCATATTGTAAGCTGTATTCCATCTATATTATGAGTAAACTTAAGAAATTTATACAATGATAGAGGAGTATCACCTGAGCATTTAATATAAAATCCAAGGAACATCCATCTGATCAAAACAAATAAAAATCAAAATTACTCACCCATCATATGTATTCCTGTCAGGTCTCATGGATCTATTAGAAGCAGGTAAAATGTAAGCCATACTTTATATTATGTGGATAGCCGTAAAGAAAAATACTGCAATTTGCTATTAAATTATAGATCTAATCATAATAATTCAGGTTCAGGTTAGAATGACACCTTCACTAAAAGGTGTTATGTTTTCTTCTGAAATTGTTAATGGAACTCTTCACTTCAAATTTTAAACCCTCCTGTTAATTCAAAAATACCTCTTACATGGCCTTTTATACTATAGCGAGGTTCTCAGAGCACCATGCTCCCAAGAAGATAGGTTCCTTTTGAAGGTGTGGCATTCTGTATCGTTGACCAGGTTGGTTAGCTCATTAACTGATGATCACAACACCTTTCCCTGGCATATGGCCTTGGTCCCAACATGGGTCTCATGAGGTGCACAAACTTATTTGCTTTGAGACAACTGTGTATGAGTGCAAATCCTCTTTTGATTCACATGCTGATTCTACTAGATTAGCTAAAAAATGTGTTCAATACACGTGAGAACTTTCAGTCCCCAAATATTTCGTTTTCTCATTCCCATCCCATCCCTCACCAACTTGTTTACATTCTTTGTGATCATAAGTAAAGAAAACATCCAAAGCCAGGACCTCAGAATGCCCTTTCATCTGAACTTTGCCCATTCAAGTTCACATAGAAGGCCTAGTAATTAAATAAACTTTTTTCCCAGGGCCTCTTCATTTAGTTAAACTCTAGATTGACTTTAAAATCCACTAACCCATGTCTTGGTGTCAGTCCAGGTAGAATAATGAATTATAGCCTAATGTTTTTGGGAAATAAACTTTTTAAAAAATCTGTGAATTTGCTGCTTGTGATGATGTTTCCTACCTTTCACTGCAGGGGTGGGGGGTCCGGAAGACTTTAGAAGATCTTTATTTTGATCCATTATTTTCTAGCTCCCATGACAATCAGCTGTAGTTCTATGCTGGTGGCTTCCAAGCAAATTAGAGCCTAAAATGTTTATAAATGCCAAGGAGAAGCAAATGTAAGGCATTCCACTGGGTGCATGGATTTCTCTTTAAGAATGCACATAAGTCAGGAACTGAATGTTCCTGTCCTAACTGGAGTCTCCAGTTACAAGTTGATCCACTTCCTGGTGATAGTCGTTCTTGGCAAACTCCTCAGGGTCCATGCTCGCCTCTTTTAGTCCATCTCAGCCAGCCAGCAAAGTTTTTAGAATGGGAAGGAAAAATAGGGATGTCCATGTCAGGCAATCACTGCAGCCTAAATCTTCCTTTAAAAAAAAAAAGAGAGAGAGAAAGACATTTACACTTTTGCCCAAGATACCCCAAAATCCCCGAGGAAACCTATTTTGGAAAAGGTAATGACAATTATGAGGCAAAATTAGCCTGAATATGTGTATTACCTTTTTAACTTGGACCAATGATTCCTGTTTGCCATTTATAATGATACTTATGTCTCTTACCTTGTGACCCACCTCAAGCTCCTCTACCTGCCGCTCTTTCTCAACCATCACTGGGAATTTTCTCAACAGGCCCACCAACTGCCACTTTTATTTGGGACCCGCACACTTTTATTTGGTATTCCATGCCGTATCTCTCCATTTATCTTTAGGCTGTAATGAGGAAGACCACCAAATTCCAGTCTGGCATTTACCACTGCCTCTGACAGGTGAAAATGTTAGCTAATTAGGTAAGTGTTAATTAATTACTCAGGTGAATTAATTGGCATAATTAACATATCTGTTTCCAGTCAAAGTTCGCTGAGCCAATGACCTGGGTCCCTAACAGTGTCAGACGATGACAAGCTAAGCTGTACAGGCTCTATATACCAACTCTCCTAGACATTAAGACAAATGGTCATCATTGAGTGAAACTCAAAATAGTCTTGTGGAGCCTATAAAAATAGAATATTAATTAATGTCTTCTGAATAATCTAACATTATTCTTTCCAGTTTTCAGTCTTCTGAAGACTCGATCTGACTCTTATGGCAGGTTGTTTCTCAACTTTTTTTTTCTTTGATTGACTATATTGCAAAAGGCCATCACCCTACCCAGTTGGGAAAAGATTTTGTTTTTAGAAATCATGCACACAGGAGTGCATAAGGCCACTCAGGGTCAGCCACAGAGTGTTTTTTTTTTTTTTTTAATGCTGTGTGCCAGCAGGGCTGTATGACTCAACACAGTCTTGAAGTCAGGAGGGTCCTGCACCAGCTCACCAGATCTGTGCTCCACAGCATCCGGTGTTTGTGGATACACTTCCCTTCCCCCTTCTTTCCCACTGTGCCAGCATTTTCCTATTCTCATTCCCATGACAAGTTTCTGTCTAGCTTAATTCTGCCTCTGAACCCATGATGTTGGAGTCCTGGCACTAAATGGCACTAGGTCTCCCGCAACTGGTTGGGATAATTTCTGCAGAGTCTGTGAGACTTAATGTGTGGACTTAGAACCAACCCCACCCCCTAATAATGCTCTTATCACTCTGGGGAGGGGCATGGCTGAGTCTGGAGCTCCCAGAACCTGCCTGGGCATGTGCCAGGGACTGTAAGAAATCCTGAGAGAGTTTGAGACCTATGGTATCCACCTTAAAGGGATTTTCTCTCCAGTGGGGAAGAGCGATGAGAGGTAAAGGACATGACAGGCACTACGCAAACTTAGGGGAGAAGCATCAAAGCCAGACTGGGGGACACAGGCAGCTTCAAGGATGGCGTAATACCTAAGCTGAGTCCTGAGGAAAGATGTAACCCTGAAAACCACATCTGTGTGTGAGGATAAGCTGAACATGAGAGGCTCTGGCCCGGGGAACAATGTGTAAAATGCAGAGAGGCAACAAAAAATTTCAAATTCAGTGAAATTTACTAGCTCTAGGAGGTTTTTATTCTCAAATATTTTCACCAGAATTTCTCAGATGGTTAGAAAGAAAGAAAGGAAGGAAGGAAGGAAGGAAGGAAAGGAGAGAGAGAGGAGAGAGAGAGAAAGAGAAAGAAAAAAAGAAAGAAAGAAAGAAAGAAAGACAGACAGACCAGAACAGGGTTTCACTAGTTATAATTCACTTTAAATATTTACATTTAATGAGTGGAGATCTTAACATTTTTTTTTTTTGGTACTGGGGATCGAACTCAGGTCCTTGGGCTTGCAAGGCAGATGGTGGAACCACTGAGCTAAATTCCTGGCCCAACACTTTCAATAATTTAGTTTAACTGTGCTATTCGCAATTCATTGTTGGGTTTATTTTTTAAAATTCTTTAATTCATCATATACTGTAAGTTTAATGGAACACAAATTTAGAAGTGCCTTACCATCTGACCCCTTTCAGCCCAATCATCTTTCTCTTCTCCAGAACCAATCCCTTTGGATCTGGGACATGCACACACACTGCAACTTCAAACCCCTAAGGAAATAGGATGAGAATGCACAATACTTATTGTGTTACTCCCCCTTTTTTGACAGGTCTCTTAGGGTGGGTATGGGGTACCAGAATCCTTCCATACTGGATTCCCCTGTCTCCACCATTTGTCGCTATGACCAGCTTGAAAGAGCTGCAATATCTTCAGCTAACCATTCCGATGCTATGCAGAGTATTTATGTTTTCATTCATTGACTCAGTAAATATTAACCATATTATCAGTATAATCCATATTCCAAAAGGTATAGGAAATGCTGGAAATAAGTGAATGAATAAAACAGCTCCTTCTTCTCTGATTTCTTCTGTGAAAATATTGACATTCCATGAATAGAGAAGCTACAATTTACCACACTCAAACTTTCTTTATGCGGAAATATATCTAGTAAGTGTGTCTTCAGCAGTCTCTTCTTCATGTCAAATAATAAAGCTTTAAAGGGCCAGGGATTTAGCTCAGTGGTTCCACTGCCTGCCTCACAATTGCAAAGCCCCGAATTTGATCCCCTGTACCAAAAAAATAATGATAAAGTTTTTTGGGTCTTTTGATCTTTCTTGAAGTGTTCATTTTCCAATACATACATTGTAACTGCCTCAAATCCTTTATGGAAGAGGAGAGCTATTTAATAATACATAATTCTGCCTATGTTGTGATGCATACCTGTAATCTCAGCTACTCAGGAGGTTGAGGTAGAAGAATCTCAAGTTTTAGGCCAGCCCAGGCAACTTAGTAAGACACTATCTCAAAATAAAAAGGGCTCAGTGCTCTGTGGATTCAATCACTAGTACCATAAAAAACAAATAAAAATAAAAACCACTATTCCTTCCTTCAAAGTATAAATGTGTTAGAGTTTAACACTGGTAAACATGTACAGAGAACATGTACCTTGTTTTCTATTACCCATTTAATCTTGCTCACTATGCCCATCTTCCTTGGAGTTTGAGCAGAGGTGGTGACTTTAAGCTTGTCAAGTAACCATATCTTTATGAATTTGATTACAGTCTCATTAGACCATTTTCTCAGGTCTTTGCCCTGTCTATCTGGTTTCCTGCTCCTGCCTGCTGCTCCTATCTATGATGACGTCTACCAAGAAGGGTGGGTAGGAAGGGGTTTTCTGTATTTCTCGTCATTGAGGAAGAGCAGCAATCCTCGTTCTGTGTGATCAGTTCCTTGTCCAGTCCTTTCTGGTACCTACAGAACATCAACATCTGGAATTTTTTTTGTTTGTTTGTTTTGGTACTGGGGATTGAACTCAGGACCTTGTACTTGCAAGGCAGGTGCAGTGCCACTGAGCTAAATCCCCAGCCCTGCAATGTTTATAAAGTGGAAATTTGCTGTAAGAAAATAACTTATTTACAAAATTTTATTTTTTTCCATAATTACATTTTGCAATATTTAGAGTAAATGCATAAAGTATTTACAAAGGAATTTCTTCTTGGACAATGGTTTAAAACATGAAAGAAAAAGTTTCAAGTAATGTGAACATTTATCAATAGGGATCATTTGGCCATCGTCAAGCATTCCAGAAGGGGTCTGTTTCCAGGTAAATGGAAACTTCACGTGGGAGAAATCATGCATATACCACTCAATAAGTGCTCAGCATCTACTATGTGCTAAGTGTGCTTGGAGTTGAGTAATGATGGGAAAGAAGTCTTTAGTCCCAGCTTGTTCTTCGACAACATCCAAATGAAAAAATTTAATACACCTCCTCTGACTTCTCTGATGATGTTTCTAACTGCAATTTGCGTTCACAGTGTGACCAGAGGTTAAATTATGGTTCCCTAATAACTGACCATAAGGCCAGCACCAGAGCCTCAGAAAGGCCAGACA